GACAAACCCCTTCCCTCGACCAAACCCAGGAAGCAGGAGGGCGGCCAAGAGAAGGCTTCAGGAGCCAAAGCCAAAGGAGTGGGGGCCAAGAAATTGAAAGGCCCCAACACTCCCAAGCTGGAGAGTAAAAAGGACAGAGGGGAGACAGTGAAAGGCCAAGAACAATCACAGGTCAGTCACAACTGCTGCCTCATCAGGATTCCTTCTTGCTTTAAATTCAATTTAATTTTAATCTCCCTGTGCTTTGTCATCAATGCCTCACTGGCTGTCTTGAATTCCTGTTGTCTTTTGAAATTGCCAAGTAATAAGAAAATAGAGGAGTGTCTTATTTATTTTACTTTGAGAACGAACTATCATGTTTCTGCATGCAGGACTCCAAGGGGAAAGAGGAGAATCATGAGCTGTCCACAGCCATTAAACAGGAGATATCTCTGAGAGATGAACCAATTGTAATAGAGGAAGAAGAGTTACATCTTACCCTAAAGAAAGAGGAGTCCTTGGCAGTGGAGCAGCCATTGTCACTCTGCCCCAAAGAACCAGACTGCAGAGCCCCACAAGCTGGTCTACCCCTCCACACAGGGCCCGGTCCCCAGCCTGAATGGAGGCCAATCAGCGAGGCCCTCCGAGCAAAACTCTCCTGTGAACAGCAAACTGAAGGGCATTTCATTCCTAAAAACCCCTACCTGCCTCATCGTTGGGACCAGAACAAACTTGCTGGACATGTTGCTCTGCCTGAGCCCTCCACCAGGGTCAAAGACTCCATAGAAAGTCATGGTGGGAGAGTGGGGAAGGTGTTACCAATGTGTAAGCAGGAAGACAGACAGTGTATAGACTTCAGCACCGATTCCTTCCCAGAGAAAGAAGACTATGGGGTCATTAAGAAGGAGTCTACCCAGGGCCCTGCACAAACGGCTCCCTACTGCAAAGCCAGCCAAGGGGTCATGTCTCCTTTAGCCAAAAAGAAGCTCCTCTCTCAAGTGTGTGAGTCAAACCCTTTCTCTTTTACTTCTACTTCTATTCAGCCTCCACCTCCTACAGCTACTTCCTCTCTCCATGTCATATCAATGGCTGAAAGGGAGAAGGAGAAGAGAAAGGGTGAGGAGGAGGTGGCTGGACAGAGGCACGGACCTTCGGACAACATACCAGAGATAGCCCCCATATTCAGGCCATCTGTCATTCAGCATGCCCAGAGCAGCAAGCCTCATCAACAAGCCACCAGTGGCCCATCAGAGAGGAGCCCTGCCGGGGAGCTTTCAGAGACCTACAGCTGCCGGACGAGCCATCACCTCCAGCCTCAAGTCAACCCGCCATGGCAGCCCTATCTCCCTCGAACCCATGCCCAGGATAGTGTGGAGAACGCAGGGGAGTCGCTACTCCACGGCCCAGGTGCTCAGCCCCGGAGCTACCCGGGTGACTGCTACTCGTCCCCTCACCTCCACAGTCTCTACAGGCAAACTGAGAGCTGCTTGAACCAGGAGAGGATGGCCTGTTTCCCCAACGGAGAGCGGAGAGAGCACTACATCAGGGACCGTGAAGGCAGCCAGGGTTTTGTCTGTGGCAGCCTGGAGCAAGAGGGCTTAGCCTACAGATCTCACTACAGTGACAGGACTCAAACACACGGAGAGAGGAGGGAGGCAGAAGATGAGCCCAGAGACTTCACTATCTCTAAACCTCTCTCTCAGAGGGTGTCCTTCTCCAAGCCCTCCTTCTGCAGTCTCCCATATCCCATCTTGCACCAGGGTTTGGATTCCCACCCTAAGGCGTGCAGAGTTCCTCCTATGACCATCTCTCCCCCCAAACAGACCCCAGCAGAGTCATCGCAGTCATTTCCCAGCCCAAAAGCTTCAAGTGATTCGTCCCTCACAAGCCCCATTCGACCCAGTAAGCGGAGCTTAGTGGAACCAGCAGGTGAGGAAGTCCCAGAGAGGAAAGTCCGCGTGGTGACGCCAATCCATCCTGCTGGTGCAATCCGACGCAGCGACCCAGAAGAACTAAAACCAGCTGAGCCAGCCCATGCCATTCACCTCAACAACCATCTCCCTGAGGGCCACCCAACGACTACCTACCCTTCACACCACGCCGCATCCTTCTACCCTGGCATGTATGCGCCTGGCAGCCTGGTCTCACCAGGAGCCCAGGACGGGCTCCAGCAGCACCCAGGTCTACAGTACCTGAAGAGCCAGTCAGCAGTGTCTCCCCTCGTGCCCCCCTTAGCCTTCCACTCCATGATGCTCCACAGGCAGCTGCTGGCATCTAGCCCCAGCCCGCACCACTTCTACAGACACCCGGGAGGGGCAGCACTGTACGGGGACCTGCTGCACCACCTGTACCCTCTCTCCACGCTCCCACCACCTCAGCTGTCCTCGGTACACCCCAGCACCAGACTGTGAGGGAGAGAGGACGATTTATTTCTCCCTCTACTTCTTCATCCTCAGAAACTTTTTTCAGCTTCTCTTTGTCTTTCTCTCTTGCTCTGGGATTGTGACTCAGTCGAAAGAAAACACTGATTATGAAACTTTGGCTGATTACAGGCTGATAAACTCATCAGTCAGACAGAGTGAAAATTCCATTTTCTTTTTTTATTTGTGTATGCATTTGTTTATATATACGTTGCACTGTTCTTTATTTTTATCACCACTTACTGTATTTGTGTTGTTGTTGTTGTATCCTTATTTGCACAATGCTCATGTGTATGTGCTCACAAATCAGTTTGCCGCTCTCAGTCACCATGAGTCAGGTTGTTGCTCTGGATGTGTGAAAAGTGGAGGGCAACAGAGAAAAGCCATTTGTTTACTGCGTCTGAGGGCTAAACTTTTTTGCTTAAAAACACTAAGTAACATGACGACGTAAATGAAATTCTTTATATAACTAAAGGATGCGTTCACCATCGCAAACAATGTTCAACAGCTGTTTAGCGCATTATTACACTTTAGGCAGCCAGTGGCGTTGCATCTGTTTACATGTCTCCACGCTGAAAGCTGCTGCCTGTTTGTGCCACAGTAAATCCACCTGGACATTAACACTCACCGCGGTGCTGCATAACATGAAATAGCTTCATCATAACATTCAGAGGTGCTGTGTGTAACAGATGTACTGTAGATTCACTTTTTACTCCGTTCAGGTTTTTATTTGTTAAATGGTATTTCAGTTCAGATCATACAACACAAGCAGTTGTCATGTTCAATCTGTTGACAAATCATGAATGTTTTTTTGTGAGAGTTAATGAAAAGCCGTTTTTAATTTTTACTTTCTAAATGGAAAGTAATTTGACCCCCAAACCCTTTGTGATGAGTAGACTGTAGCAGCTTGTTTTTGTCTGTAGGACCAGCATAATGAAGCAGCCGTCTGCTGTGGAATGCTCACCACAAGAAATCAGCATTTCATTTTTTTGTTCTTGACTTGAAAAGCTCTTTTTTGGTGAACAGACTCTTTTATTCAACACGCTGAAAAGACTCACTGTATGATTTGATAGGAATGTTGTCACTTAGGATATTATTGCTTTGCAAATATCTGTGCCTTTCGCAGTCTTGGATTAGAGTTAGCACTACAGTTGTTAAGGTTTATCTTCTGTAGCAGGGTAGGAATATCAATATTACTGTCACTCTTGTCTGAAATGCAGCGCACAGACACTCATACAGAAACGCTATGGCACACTTGGTTATCAGACACCAGACTTGGTAGGTAAGGCACAAAAAATGTTAAGTTTTAAAAATTTAAACAGTTATGCTTTAGCCTTATGGTTAGTATTTGTGCTTAGATAAATCTATTTACTTTAGCTTGACTGTGTCAGGCAGTTGATTATAGAAGAACCTGAAAAGATTTACTGATAGTTAATATTGACACAAGTCTGGTGTCTGTCATCCGCAGGGCATATGTGCTCTATGTGTTTTCTAGCAGTGATGAAAAGGTACCAGACGCCATAAAGTATGCCTACCATGCTCCATAGCCTGAGGTGGAAAGACAACACCTGCTCTGGCTTTTACAACCACTATAATTGCAATCCAGGATAGTCGAAATACACAGTCAACATGTCTGGTGTTTCAAAAGATGAAAAAAAAGAAGCTGTAAATGTCTATGTGTAAAGTTTTACTGAATACTTAGATAAAGAAATTCATTTCTGATTAAGTACTGTACATTTCTGTGTGTAGGTAATACTGGCATTAGTGCTGGCTCCTGTACAGAACAGTCATATGGGATCAATTCATGACAACCCCTTCTCTCGTCTTATTTTCTGTGTAAATAGCACTGTAGATAGTACCGCGTGGTTGTTATCATATAAACTGTTATAATCTGTAAATAGTATAAAAACAGTATAAAAGTCGGTTACACAATCTAGCTGTGTCCTTGTTTGCTCTGTTTCAAGGTCACCGTGATCATGTTAGATTTAAACAAACACTACAATTTAAGAATTAGGATACTCTTTATTTGTTGTCGTTTCACTTTTTTTCCACGTTGTTTCCATTAATGTGCATCCTGAAAGTGTTTTTGATACAGTAGCCATCTGTTTACCAATCACCCAGCTGGCAAGCAAGACAAAAAATAAAGACATTTTGTATATGACCTCCTGTATATTTAATTAAAATATTTTACTATCTATACATGTTTCCTCAGTTGTGTTCTTTAACCTAGCTGCAGATAAATAGCTATGGCTGAATAAACTGATATTTAATGCCAGTGTACTAACGTCACGTAGCTGTTTTTTTTCCTGAGTAAATGCAGTGTGAATGGGGTTTTATTATTGTAATACCATTATCTGGCTATGAGATTCCATCCGCCTTAATCTTCACAACAGGCTACGTCTGGGCTCAAAGCCAGAGAAACCTCTCCAGTATTCGCTGCAGTAGAGAAATGTGCCCGTGCGTGTATCTCTGTGGGATGTGTGTTGGGCTGCAATAAAAGCTATGCTTTGACTTTTATTGCCACCCCCTGGTAAACCTTTACCATGAAAAATATTCAGTAATACTTCCAAGCTCAGCAAAAATAAAGCAGCCTCACCAGGGTAGAATGTAGGCTGTTTTATTGCAGATCAGCAATAATAAAAAATACAGTTAGCTTCCAAGACAACAGTGAACAGAGAGTGAGGAGAAAATTGCACTTTTTGAGAAACAAAAACAATATTTTTTACACTGCACTAAAGACAAATTTACTGTATCCCTACTCACTACTACATAAACACAGTGCCACTTAGTCTAAATAATTTGTGTGCTAGAAGTAACATTGAGATGACATAACAGTATTACACTATCAAAAGAAATCACAAAACATTTTAATAAAAAAAATAAAAATGATTGCTGTTACTGTTATTGCTGTCATGTGTAATTAACAAATGAAAAGACAAAGATAAAAGACAAGTACATATATCTCTAATGAATATAAATTTGGCTCATTAGTTTGGCTCTGATCAAAGCAATAATGTTCCGCCCTTGTTTAGTCATAAAGCAGTTAGTTTCATTTAGATCACATGCTCTTCCTCAAGCTTAATATCCACAGGGGAAATATTTGACTATACTGGTTACATGAAACGGCTTTCACCAGCTACACGGTTAACCTGAAATACTACAAAGAAATGTTAGTGTTCACAAATTGTCAGTAATATTTACATGTAATTGAAAGTAGTGGGGGATGCAGGAAGTGTAATATAATTACTGTGATGATATCATACAGCCCGATGTGTAACCACATTAGCATCAGTAAAAACTAATGCTATGAGGGTTGACCCTAAAGTCTTCCCTTGTTTTTCCAGGTATATACAGTACAACATCAAAGTCCCTAATGTGTTGGTAATACACACACAGAGGATAGAAAACATTTCCAACACTCTACTAATATTGAGCAGCATCCCCTTTTGTACAAACCATTCTCGGTTCTTTCAAGGCTTAAAACTAAATCCTCCTGTAATCTGCCTCCCTCCAAATCTACATCTCCCCTTCTTGATTAAACCGAATTTAGAGGGTGGGATAAAGAAAAATGGGCTTGTAGCTTTCACCATACTGCTTCATCTGTCCAGGTAATTTCAGAGAAAGTAGCTCAACCTCATGTTTTGTACACTCTGTGTAATTATAAAGATCATTCAACACGTGACTGTTAAGTGGTTGAAATATTTAGTGGCTGGCAGTATTGGATATGTTCAAAACACAAAAACAAGGGCATTCATTATTTTAGCCACTCAAAAGACTCATTCATTCAATTATGTTCATAGCATTTATGGGCTGCAGTGTTAAATTATGTTGGACATACTGTGTAGCCACTGAAAACCAAGGTCACTCCATTATTAAGACCTCTGGGAAATGGAGAAGTCACATTAGTGCTTGCAATTGCTCCTAAAATCCTGCTCCCTTAAAATCAGCTATAGTGGTCATAAAATTGTCACAGTGAGTGGAATAAGTCAATAGTTCCAAAAGGAATGACTCGTCCACAGTCGGCCGATGGATCAATTCCAATTTGAGTGCTTTTGCAAAGGCTCTTTCTTCGGCCCATGTTCCAGTGGCAGAGCTGAGAAATAAGCCTTTCCATTTTAGTGGGATTGATGATGGCGGTGCTCAAGCCAACGTACAGCTTTCAATTTCATCTATGGGTTAGCTGCACATGAAAGAAAAGTTTATAAATGGAGAGTGGAGCTGGAGATGTATCACTACAGTATTGATATTGTGATGTGAGGTGTCAGCTGGGATTTGGGTTGTAATGATGGACATCGTGAGGA